CTTTTAAAGAAGAACCTTTAACATTTCTTATAAGGCTGGTTTAATGGTGGTCAACTCTTTTAACTTATGTTTATCTTTGAAGCTCTTCATCTGCCCTTCTGTTCTGAATGATAACCCTGCTGGATAGAGGATTCTTAGTTGGAGGTTTTTCTTACATCATGCTACTCCCTTCTGGCCTATAGAGTTTTTGCTTAAAAATCATCTGATAGCTTTATGGGGTTTCCCTTGTAGGTAACTCATTGCTTTCCTCTTGCTGCTTTTAAGATTTTCTCTTTGTCTTTGATGTTTATCATTTTAATTAACAGTGTTTCTTGGTGAACCTCCTTGAGTTTATTTTTTCTGGGGCTCTCTTTGCTTTCTGGACATGGATATCTCTTTCCTTCTCTAAGTTAGGAAAGTTTTTAGCTATTATTTCTTCAAATAAATTTTCTGCTCCTCTCTCTTCTGCTCTAGACCTCCTATGATGCAGATGTTTGGCTCTTTGGTATTTTTCCAGAGCTCCTTTAACTGATATTCATTTTGTTTTTGTTTTTCTTCTTTTGCCTTTCAGCTTGAGTGCTTTGATTATTCTGTTTTCTAAATCACCAAGTGTTCTGCATCCTTTCATCTGTTGTTGATTCCCTCTAGCATATTTTTCATTTCACATATTGTATTCTTATCTCTGATTGATTTTGTTTCATATTTGTAGAGGTTCTCACTGAGTTCCTCCACTCTTTTCTCTCAAGTCTGGTGAGCATCTTTATAATCATCAATTCGACTCTTTATCTGGGAAGTTGCTTAACTCTCTTTCATTTAGTTTCCTTTCTGAAGTTTTGTTTCAGGCATATTTCTCTGTCTTCTCATTTTGTTTGGCTTTCTGTGCTTGATTCTGTGAATTAGTAGAAAAGGCTACCTTTCCCAATCTTGAAGTATTGGCCTTGTGTAAGGAAGATCTCCTTGGGAGATTGCGTGTGCTTGGTGATTTTGGTAGGCTGGTTGGAGGCCTTTTGAGCATGAGATGGAGGTATTCTGTTGTCAGGGCTCTCGGCATGGTTTGGCAAGGGTCCATTTGGAGGAATTGCTGTGTGGATACACTCTTGGGCTCTATGCTACTGGGGAGGCAGTGGGTCCAGGCACATTCTCCTGGAAAGCCTTGTCTCCACAGCTACTGGCTCCATGCCCATGGTGCAGTATAGTGGCCCAGGTGTGCTCTCCAAGGGTTGGCGTTGACTGTGGCTGCAGCCCAAATGTACTCTCTGGCTGACATATCTGGGTGTGGGCAGGGACTGGGAAGCTGCTGTGTCTCTGTCTTTCCTGCTGTTTTTTTATGTTATGTTTCTTTCCCTCGTTGTGTAGAAGGTATTTATCAGTTCTCGGTTCTTCCTCATAATGCGTTGCACTGTCTATAGTTGTAGATTCAGTGTGAAGGTGTGAGGAGATGGGTTCAAACTTTCTCTGTGCTGTCATCTTTCCCCCATAGGGCATTTTCTTGTCTGAAACAATACTGTCTGAGAATGAATCTGGTCAAAGTGGTGCTGCCATTAGATCTTTTCAAACCGCCCCTCTAGGTTTTGGGGGCCTCAGGCCATCACATCCATTAACAGAGACTCTTTGTAGGATCTGAGTCTGTGGCATCAGCTGGGAAAGGCTGCAGGCTCTGGAGCAGGAGCACAAACACCACTGATTCTGCTTTTTAATTTAAGAAAAAGAAGTGTAATTTATAAAAAAGCATGTGAAAAAAGTAGAGAAAGCTGGGGGAAAAAAAGTAGCTTGAGACTAGACTGTGTGGTATAGGACCTTGAATGTCATGCTAATGCATATAGGCATTGTGATAAAATCAAGGACTCAGGTAGACCAGTGTGACATTTTAGCAGTATTAATCTGGCTTGGCTCTGGAAGAAAGGAGCCCGTCACTGATCTGTTTGCTTTTTTTATGAGGTGTAATACATTTTTTAAAATGTGAGCTTCAAGAGCATTTATCTACTTATAATTTCAGTAGCTTTATTTTTGGTAATCAGAAGCAACCCAATTTCTTTCCCAAGGGAGTAAAGAAATAAGTTGGATATATTCATGTACTGAGGTACTGCACAGCAATAATAAAAATGAATAAACCACTACATAAAGCAACATAGAGGAATCTCATGAACATAATGTTGAGCAAAGAAGCAAGATGTAAGCGTACATACTCTATCATTACATTTATATGATGTCGAAGAACAAAATTAATCCCTGGGGTTTAACTCAGGATGGAGGCTATGGAGGAAGGTTACTGAGCAGTTTTAGGAGGCATGGGGGATTCTGGGGTGCCAGTGCTTTGTGGACATTCATTAGACTATAATCTCACATATTAGACAGACATACCCAGAATGATGGCATTATTAAAAAACACACACACTCAGAATGATGGCAATATTAGCTCTGAGAGAGGGTAACTGAACTAGATTCTAAAGTTTTTGTTGCTAGTGGATTAATATGATAGTAAAAAGGCTAGGAACATGTGCAGGAGGGAGTAGCCGAAGGGCATCAACCAGAAAGAAAAGGTGAAAGTAATGGCTTGGAGGGGCTCTGAGAAACAGGAGACTGCCAACACTCCTTCCTGTACTATGTATGGGTCCATCTGACTTGGGAGAATGAGCAACTCCTATTTTTAAAGAAGAATCAGATATCAGGGCAGTAGATACCATACACTGGGCTACTGAGCTTGCTTATTATCCAATCAGAGCCACCTGAGTATTTTTTGGAAAAAGGTCCTGGATCCCAGTCCAATATTCTCACTTAGTACATCTGGGTTGGAGCCAGGGATCTGTAATTTTTAAAACTACTCCAGCTGATTGATATGCATCCTGATTTGGAGACTCTAGTATAGGAATAGGGTGAAGAAACAGTTTCAAGGTTGGCAGAGGGGATAGTTTTCTGCTATTTTAAATAGTACTTGCAGTGGGTATAGAACCAGAGAAGAAAAATTGGCAGTGGGATGATAATCCTTGGAAGAGGAATAAGAGTAAATAGAAGGTGAAGACATGAGGATGTGAATATAGATGAAAAACATGTAAGTAAATAATTATCTTAAAACTTTCAATAATTGAACTTTTTTCTAAGTTAATTTCCTGCTGTAACTCTTTGAAATATTCATGAATAGTCAGAACCTGATTATCTTATGTTATTTTTATGTTATCTCTATTAAGACTTTATTGAATGTAATGTTTTTTAACCTTGTATTTCTTTAGAAAATATTTAAATAGCTTTATTAAAGGTTGTCACTTTTAACCAACATTTCCATACCTGAAATTTGTTAGGCATTGTACTAGGCAGTAGAGAAAAGTTAGATGGTTTCACTGGCTTAAAGAGCTGAGTCCAATATAGGTGATATATATAGGACCTTTGCTCACAGCTATCTATACTGTGCATTAGTCATTGCAAGTTCAGTCTAAAAACTTCAAATTTTACTCCAGTATTTAATCAAGCCAGGACAAAAGTCTATCAAACTGTCATAGTATGTACGTTTTGCTGTCTGAGGGCCTGGAGAAGGGTCATATTTTGGTGTCTAGTTCCTTGGGATCAGTTTTACAATGGAGCTTTGTCTTCCAACTAAGACCACTTGGTTATGCAATATATTCTCCTTTTCCTCACCATCATCCCCCTAGTTGTAAATATTGTACACATTGTTACCTTTTTATTTCTAGGGTTCAGGGTGGGGTTGAGTATTGCTCCTGAATTCTTTCTGGACACTAATGAGGCCATTGCTCAGTCCCTATATTTGTGTGTATCTCTCTGGCAATCTGGTTTCTTCTTTGTGCTTCTCATCATAAACACCAACTCCTAGGAGACAAAGCCATAGACAAGTACAGTTGACCCTGGAAACAACATAGATTTGAACTGTAAGGATCCACTTACAGATTTTTTTTCAATAAATATATTGGATAATTTTTTTGAAGAGTTGGTGACAATTTGAAAGGCTGTTTTCTTTTTTTTTAGGCTTACTTTATTGTGAGAATACAGTATATAATAAAACATACAGAATATCTGTTAATTGATAAGTTTTTGGTAAGGCTTCTAGTCAGCAGTAGGCTGTTAGTAGTTCAGTTTCTGGGGAGTCAGAAGTTAATACCCAGATTTTTGACTGCATGGGGAAGCCAGCACTCCTAACCCCTGTCTTGTTCAAGGGCCAACTGTATTCAGACAATATTAACGAGCTTACTTTTTCTTTTAAGTATTCTTAAATTTGTGCAAATACATAGCATGCATTTTCTAACATCTCTGTTACTTTTGCAGGTAGTAACCAAGGCTATGTGGGTGCCAGTACCAGAATGTCAAGAAGAGCACATTTATGCTCTGCTGCTACCAGTAGTTTATTAGACATTGATCCTTTAATTTTAATACATTTGTTGGACCTTAAGGACCGGAGCAGTATGGAAAATCTGTGGGGCTTACAGCCTCGTCCACCTGCTTCACTTTTGCAGCCCACAGGTAAGATATGAACGATACTCACCCTTTTTTCTGTGGTTCTCCAATAAAACTCTTGATTTTAAGCCAAGTATTTCATCTAAGTATATAACATGGTATGTTCTTGTAGCAAATTGATTTTTCATTGAATGTCATAAAATTGTCCTTTATATCGAATTTTTTTTTGTTGTTCAAAACTTTTTTGTGCAAAACTAATGTCAAAATGCCTGTAAGGTTTTTAATATGATCTGCTATTTAGACTATGTCTAACTGACATTTGATTCATATGAAATAGTCTTCTTTGTGAATGACTTTAGAATTTTGCAGGCCTCATGGATACCCTAACATTCACGTAGAACTGTGTCTAAACTAAATATAGAGAAAGATGTTTTACTCATGCTTTGATTGATTTTCAGTAGCCTAAAAATGTCTATCAGATCAGTGTTTTATTTGCAAAGGTTATTAAAGGGAAATTACATTTGTGTTACTGTAATTGTGACATACACATACACATAATCAATGGTAGGGTCTAAACCTGGAATTTTTCAAACTCTTAAGCATAGTTTTGAACAGCTAAGGATTTACCTTTAAATGGCACATTTTAAAAACCATTTTTATTGGAAACTTTTCTAAAATATACTGAGTTTTTTCTTACCTTCTTAAATAATAGTATTATACAAATCAAATCAATGATTTAGAACAGTGATTTTGATGCTTCTTTAAAGCAACAAAACTCATTTTTCAAATATAGTCTAAGGCAAAGCCTCAGTGCAGAAAACAGAAGTAGAGCTGAGCTGCTCTAGTAGGGGATGGACTCAGAGCCTGGCTTATTTGGACATCCTTCCTAAGGTGTGCTTCCTAGAAGTCTGGGTCCTTAGTTTGAAAGTTTCCAGCCAGGTTATGACACAATTGCTTTTTATCTATATTCCAACTACATTTTGTATTAATACCTGTACTTTTGTAGCCCTTATGTCATAATTAAACATTTTTTCTAAGATATTTTTATTGTAGAAAAATTGGGAAGTATAGAAAATTGCAAAGAAAATAAAAATCACACATAGTTCTTCAGTGATCACATGTGATCTTGTGATCATTAAAAAAAAAAACTTACCACATTGGCAAAAAGGTTTTGTTTAAAGTAGAACCAGTGTTGTTTTCAAAGATCTACTGAAACAAATAAGCTGTGACTCTGCAGGCAGATGTGTACAGTGGTTTAAACTTTTTGAGTAAAATTTTGTAATAGGTTTAAAAATACCTCCATCCTTTCATCCTGTAATTTCACTTCTAGGAGTATATCCCAAAGATAAAACAGTGAGTCATTTGAAAATATCCATTAATGTAATTATGGCTGAAAAATTATAGTTTATCCATACAATAAGCATATTTTATAGACAAGTAAAACCATGGTTTTGAAAAAAATACTGTCTTTGGAAAAATGAATGCCAACTATATAAACAGGATAAAATCTGTTCTTTAAAAATTTAGTTTTCTATGTAAAACTAATAATATAAATGAGATGACCTGAGTTTCAAATCAAGGTAATTAAGATGCTAATGACAAGGAGGATGGGGAAAATAGAGAGCAAGAACAAGTCTTGGATTTAAACATCTTGAGTTGAATATACCGTTGGAATGGCAAAGTAGAGAAGCTAGTAGACAGCTAAAACTTAACTGGAGTACAGGCAGTTACTTGCCTAGAAGTGTTACTATACACTTTAAACTAAGGGAGTAAAATTGCAGAAGAGAGAAGTTTAAGAAAATTTTAAAAAGAAAAAGGCCAGAGACATAATCATGATGAATATCTGATTTTACTGAGTGTGTGAAAGATGAGCCAGATGAAGAACCATTGGAAAGGAGAAAGACCAAGAGAACAGTCATGGAAGCCAAATGAAAATAACCTATTTGTGAGAGGCTATTAAAAGCTAATATTGCAAAAAGATTCAGTTTTCATTTTATTGAAATACTTGCTTGGGTTGCAAAGTTTATTTTATGTATTTGTTCCTTCTCGATTTGTATTATCTTCCATTTTCCTTTGTCTTACTGCTCCGGCTAGGACTTCCAGTATGATGTTGAAAAAAAGTGGTGAGAGGAGACATCATCCTTGCCTTGTTTCTGATCCTGGTGAGAAAGCTTCAGGTTTCTCACCAAGTATGATGCTAGCTGTAGGTGTTTTGAAGCTATTCTTTATTGAGTTGAGGAAGTTCCCCTCTGTTCCTGATTTACTGAGACTTTTTAAAATCAGGAATAGGCATTGGATTTTATCAGATGCTTTTTCTCCATCTGTTGATATCATGTGATGCTTTACATTGATTTTCAAATGTTGAATCAGCCTTGTATACCTGCGATAAATCCCACTTGGTGGTGATATATAATTCTGTACATTGTTAGATGATATTCATTAATATACCTTTGAGGATTTGTGCATCTGTGTACATGAGAAATGTTGGTCTGTAGTTTTCTTTTCTTTTAATGTCTTTGTGTGGTATTTAATGCTACAGTAATGCCGACCTCATAGATTGAGTTAGGAAGTATTCCCCTGCTTCTATCCTTGGAGATAATAGATACAGGCCTGTTTTTTTTTTTTTTTTTTCCTCATAGATTGAGTTAGGAAGTATTCCCCTGCTTCTATCCTTGGAGATAATAGATACAGGCCTGTTTTTTTTTTTTTTTTTTGGATACAGGCCTTTTAAGATTGTGTCTTCTGTATTTTGACAGATTGTCATTCAAGGAATTGGTCTATTATATCTAGGTTATCAAATTTATTGGCATAGAGCTGTTCATGGTATTCCTTTATTACTCTTTTATTCTTTCTTTCAACACATACTGAGTGAACACCTATTATGTATCAGACTCACTGTTAATTCATGTTCATAACCACTGTGCTGTAAAAGGAACATTGGAAGAGGCATCAGGGTATGAAAGACAGGTAATGTAGCTGAGCCAGATTTTAAGGTACCTGTAAGTAGTAAGTAGAACTAGAAGTCAAATTGGTCTATTCTGTGAAGTGCTTTCCATGCTAGCCTGAGGAATTTATTCATAGTGGGCAGTGGGGAGCTATTGTTTCATTTTAGGAGAGGTGTGGTTCAAGCTGTGTTTTAGAAAGCTGGCAGCATGGAGAAAACTATCAGAAATGGAAGTTTAATCAGGGTACTATTGTAGAAGTTTATGTCAGTGCTTCCTAGTATTAGAGGGCAAACTCATACACTTGTATTGACAAATCAGAAACTTCAGAGACCAAGAAAGCTCTGAAATTTAAGTGTTTATTGAAAGACAGTTACTTAAATTTACATTGACTGTAGATAAGGAGAGTAGGTCAACAGGAAGTGGGGAAAGTCCAGGGATAGATGGTTAGTCCATAGATGAGGTTTATGGATTGGTTGTTGAATGATAGTCAGGGTCTGTTCACATGTAAGAGAAATGCAGTATTTCTGGGGCCTTTTTAGATAATTTTTGAAATGACTTCACTCAGGAATGTGGAATCTCATATATATATATGGCTTAAGGTTATTGACTGGTTAACTTCCCTTGTCACTCTGGCCCTTATGTCACTTGACTTTAGGACATCTCAAAATTTTTTCTTTATCACCGTGTATTTTCTCAATCAGCATATGATTAAAAATACATAGAACTGAGGTAAGGTCTTCAGAATCTTTTGATATTATAAAAGTTCTAGTTAACCTCTAGGGAATGCATTAATCTAGGCACTACATAGTTAAGATTTTGCTTATGGTATGGCAGTGGTAATATTTGGAACCTTGTGAAGTTGGAGTTTATAGGGCTTGGTGACCAATTGGAATGTGGTAAAGCGGACTCTGAAGAAGTTTAGATAATCAGGAGAAGGGTGGCAGCTTTAACAAATACCAAGCTCTAGAGGAGAAGCTGTAGAGAACTGTCATTCCTGAGGACCTTAACTGAATGATATGAAAGAAGTGTTACAGGTGAGACTTTCAGTTCTCATTAATTTGTGACTTGGCAAATTCAGGAAGGTGTCTTTCTTCAGTGCAGTAAGTATCTATAAGTTGTCAGGTTCCCTTGGTATAAGATCCCATAGCACTGTACACTTTCCTGTCTTGGCATTTATCACACAATAGTGAAATGGTTATTTTTCATTTTTCCCTGTTGGACTCTGAGCTTTGTAAGAGCAAAGATGATCGTTCATCTTGTTCACTGTTGTTTCCTCTGTCCAGTCTAGTGCCTGGCATTTGAAACAGGCTTGGTAATTGTTTATCCATTTTCATATAATGCAGGTGTGTTTAAATCTTTTTTTAATTTTCCCATTTGGGAAAATTTTTTACTTTTTAAAATTCTTATGTTTCTAGAAATAATAAACTGAGCCATATGGGTTAATACAGATTTTCATATTTAAGTTCATGTAGCTGTAGTGGGAGCCACAAAGATTTTACTTAGCAAAACATTTTGAGTATTTTGTGCCATACATTGTTTGGCCTGGAATATGAAGATCACTAAGATCCACTCTTTTTTTTCAGTATCATTAATGTACAATTACATAACAACATAATGGTTACTAGACTCTGCCCAAGGATCCACTCTTAAGTTGTTCACAGTCCACAATGTTTGTCTTCTTTAACTGTACTGTGATAGGTGCTGCAGTAGATATATACTCCCTCTACTGTACAAAATTAGGTAAGAATTGATTTGGAATGAGGGGGATTATTGGTGGTTTAGGCAACTGGAAGAGGGGACATTTCATATTATAGCTAATGAATTTGGGTTGTCAGAGAGCAAAGGGAATAGGACATATGAAGAGCATGAAGCATGATGGAGCATGATTGATGAATTAGGAAGAGTTGCAAGTAATTCCAAACGCTTGGGGTATGTTTGGGGTAGAGTAGAAGATAAGCATCAAGAGATAAGTTAGAGTCAGGTAATGTAGGGCCTCATTTGCCTGCTGGTGCTTTTCTAAATGATTCTGAGCAGGAAAGTATTGGATGTTACTTTGAGTTTTAGAAAACTGCTCTGACATCTTAGGGGACAAAGAATTGGATGAAAACTGCTGTAGAGTGCTTTCACACTCTCCTGAGCCTCACGACAATCCTGTTATATGTATATTGTTATTATCATCGTTTTACAAATAAATAAATGCACTCAAAAGTTGGCAGACTTATAGATAGAAAGCTAGAGCAATGAAATGGTAGATCTGGACCAAATCCTGGGTTTATGAAATCTCTTCTCCTTATTCTTTTGTGAGTGCTTTCAACTGCAAGTAACAAAATGCTGCTAATAATGGTGGCTTAACGAATAAGGGCACTTTATTATGCATTGTCAAGAAGTCTGGAGGTAGGTGATTGCATTTCGTCAGGTACTTAACGGCAGGCCTCTGGATGGTCTTCCTGTGATTTCTTGCCTCTTGTCTCATGGTAATAAGAGGACTGCCACAGCTCCAGACATCATGTATTCACAAGAATGTGTAAGTGAAGATCACAGACTACTCTGGAGGCAAGCTCCTCAGTTTGAATTCAAGCTCCTCTACTTACTATAGTGTGTTACATTGAGTATGTTATATAACTTTTCAAAGGCTGTCTTTACTCATTTATAAAATGAAGATAGTAATAGTATGTACTTCAGAGGATTGATATGAGAGAAGTAAATGACTTAATACTTATAAAATGTCTGACACTCAGTGTAAGCTCTCTGTTAAATAAATACACAATAAAATCTCCCTATCAGGATAGCAGATCTGTCCCTGAAGTGAACCCCAACCCCTTCCCCCTCTTTGTTTAGACCTAGTCAGGTGTCCACCCTAAGTGCTGTCAAAGAGGAATGAGCTTAGACCAGTCCTGGACCTGTATCACCTGGGGCTGAAGGGGTGCCCCAGCCTCCCAGCACACTGCGGCCCACCTGATAGCTGAATACAGTCTGGGTCCTTTTGGCAGGTAGAAGTGAGGGAAGGGCTGTGATGTCCTTTTTCTATATTTCCACTTGTATGGTAGAAGGTTGTTGCAATGTCTAAGCAGGCTCAGCTATTGTTCTTGCTTATAAAGGACTTGTTCTTTGTCTTGTTGGATGCTCGTTGGTCCCTCATTTGGGGTTCTTGTGGGGCCTTGGCTTTTTGCTATGAGTCAGTTGTAATGTTCTTTGATTTCCAAAATACCTACCTCTTTTTCCTCTCCTGCAATAGAAAGTCTGTATTTTCTTAGCTTGTGCCTGTTTTTTTAGTATTTGGGTAGGGGGAGAAGAAATTAAAAACAGCTTCAACTACTTTCTCTGGGAAGAGAGAAAACATTGTTACTTTAGTGACGGCAAAGACTCAATGACAGGGAGCTACTCCTTTATGATGATTCATGGCACTTACCAGTTGCTGCTACATTATAATAGTTCAGTAAGTCCGCTTTTTGAATGTAATATACCACATATAGCAAATCTGACCATGTACTTAGCTTCTAGATTTTTTCTTTTTTTCAATTTAAAATAAAAGCTCAGTGTAGAATATTTAAGAAGACTGGAAAAGTATAAAGAAGAAAGCACAGGTGACAGGGCCATTTTTTCAACTTTTAGAATTCACTATGTAATTCTGATTTGAGTGATTATAAGGTGGCCCAGATTCTAATTTGGAAGATGTGAATAAAGTTAGGATACTTGTGTCTGTCTTTATTTGGTTAGTGGAATTTAATGCATTCTTTTATTGTCAATACCACCTAAAGCACCTCAACTTATTTATGAAATCAAATTTGTATATCTTCACAGTATAAAGTCATTTCATGAGTATTAAAGTCTCTGTTAACATGACTTGTCACTTTCTCCCTGAAGCATCATATTCTCGAAAAGATAAAGATCAAAGGAAGCAGCAGGCAATGTGGCGAGTTCCCTCTGATTTAAAGATGCTAAAAAGACTCAAAACTCAAATGGCTGAAGTTCGATGTATGAAAACTGATGTAAAGAACACACTTTCAGAAATAAAGAGCAGCAATGCTGCTTCTGGAGACATGCACACAAGCCTTTTTTCTGCTGACCAGGCAGCTCTGGCTGCATGTGGAACTGAAAGCTCTGTCAGATTACAGGATTTGGGAATGGAACTCTTGGCAAAGTCATCAGTTGCCAGTTGTTACATACGAAACTGTAAGTGAAAAGGATACTACGAGTGTCCTTTCTCCACTTGTCATTTGGGAAGCTTGAGGATGTGTTATTTTCAGAATAATAATTTAAACATCTCTCTTACAATTAAGATTGTAGTTAGTATAGTCTTTTCTCCCATTCAGAACTGACAGTATATTTTCTATATAATAAAGCTAACATTGTTGATTGCCTGTTCTATACTGGGCAATAAACAAGACGAAATCCTTAACCTCATGGATCTTGCATTTATGTATTCATGTGGTGGGAATTGGACATTAAAATGTGTAACAATTTTACACATTAACACTTTCACTTTAAATAAAGATAATTTCAGTTGGTAAAATGCTGTGAAGGAAAAAACATAGTGGGGTGGGAAGAACAGGTAAGGAATGTGCTACTTTAGTTAGGGTGTCAGGGAAAGTCTGAAGAGGCAACATTTCAACTGAGACCTGGAGGTTAAGGTGGCAGCCATGCAGAGATCTGAGGGAAGCAGTATTCAGGGCAAACAGAACAGAAGATGCAAAGTCAGTGATACAGGATTTGCTCTGCATGTTTGAAGGCTCAAAGGAAGACCAATATGGCTGAATATGGTGGGAGGGGAGAATAATAGGAGATTAATCAGACAGGTAGGCAGGATCTTGTAATAACTCAATACAGAGTTTGAGTTTTATTCTGGTTTTAGGAGGAAGTCTCTAGAGAATACAAATTGGAGTATTTATAATTTGATTTACTTTTTATAAAGATTACTTTGCTGGTGGTGTGGAGAAGGATCTTAAAAGTGTTGGGGGTGGGAGTCATGAGACCAGTAAACAGCATATAACAATAGCTTTTGTGAAATATGGTGGCTTATTCTGGAGTTATTGCAGTGGGTAGAAGGAGTTGCTCATATAGTCTAGCCATCTTTCTTGACTTAGGTTCCCATCTTAGTTCTTCTAAAGATGGCAGAGAACTACTATTCTAGATATAGAGACAAGTTAATTCATTACATACAGTGGATATTTTAGACCTGGAGAGCTCAGTTCTTTCCCACAGTCCTGCTAAGAAGGGCTGGATAGTGTTTTAGGGAAAGAAAAAAAACTAAGAATGATGTTGAAGTTTTTGGTCTAACCAACTTAGCAACTGGTGTTACTGAGATGCAAATCAAATAAGTTTACCATTTTAACAATTTTTAAATGCACAGCTCAGTGGCATTAAGTACATTCACACTGTTGTACAACCATCTCCAGAAAAGTTCATCTCCAGAACCTTTTCCTCACCCCAAACTGAAATTCTTTATTCCCTTTTCTCCCAATCCCTGGTAACCCCTATTCTACTTTCTGTTTCTATGAACATGTTATTCTAGATAGCTCATATAAGTGGAATCATAGAATATTTGTCTTTGTGTGTCTGGCTTATTTCACGTTAGTGTAATGTTTTCAAGTTTCATCCATATTGTAGCATGTTTCAGAATTTCCTTCTTTTCTGAAGCTGAATAATATTCCATGGCATGTATATACCAGGTTTTGTTTATCCATTCATCTGTTGATAGACATTTGGGTTATTTTCTGTCTTTTGGCTATCGTGAATAATGCTGCTATAAACTTGAGTGTACAAATATCTGTTCCAGTCTCTACTTTCAGTTCTTTTGGAGGTATACCCAAAGTGGAATTGCTGGGCCATATGATAATTATATATTTAATTTTTTTGAAAAATTTTAAGTTAACAGTTAAACAAAAACAAAATTTATCATCTTAACCTTTTTAAAGTGTACAATTCAGTGGCATTAACTACATGCACACAGTTTTTGCTACCATCAGCACCTTCCATCTGCAGAACTCTTTTTATCCTGCACAATTGAATCTCTGTACCTATTAAACAGTAACTCTCCATTCTTCCACCCTCCCAACACCTGGCAGCCACTTAACTTTCTGTTTCTGAATTTTCATTACTTGAGATACGTTGCATAAGTGGAAACACACTGTTTTCCCTTTTTCACCTGGCTTATTTCACTTCGCATAAATGTCCTCAAGGTTCATCCATATTGTAGCACATGTCAGAATTCTCTTCCTTTTTGTAGGTGAATAATATTCTATTGTGTTTGTATGTAAACCACCTTGTGTTATCCATTCATCCTTTGAGTAGGCACCTATTTTTTGGCTATTGTGAATAATGCAGCTTTGAAATGGGGGTTTATCTCTTTGAGACCCTACTTTTCCATTTTTCTAGACATATATACCTAAAAGTGGGATTGTTGGATCATATGATAATTCAATCTTTAATTTTTTGAGGAACCACCATACTGTTTTCTATAGAGGTTGTACTGTTTTACATTCCCATCAACAGTGTACAAGAGTTCCAATCCTCCATATCTTCCTCAACACTTAATATTTTCTGCTTTGTTTTGTTTTGATAATAGCCATACTAATGGGTATGAGGTGGTATCTCATTGTGGTTTTGATTTACATTTCCCTAATGATTAGTGATGTTGAGTATCTTTTCATGTTTTATTGGTCATCTGTATATATCTTCTCTGGAGAAATTATATTCAAGTCCTTTGCCCATTTTTTAGTTGGATTTTTTTTTGTTTTTGAGTTTTAAGAGTTAATTATATATTCTGGGTATTAATCACTTATCAGATATATGATTTGTGGATAATTTCTCCTGTGGGTTGTCTTTTTACTCTGTTGGTAGTGTCCTTTGATGCTAAATTTTTTTTAAATTGATGAAGTACAATTTATTATTTTTCTTTTGTTGCCATGCTTTTGGTGTCATATTCTTAGCATTGCTAAACCCATGTATTGTTTATCTACTACTACTCATCAGAGATAGACATTTGGATTTTTACCCCTACTTCTGTCTCTTACAAATAATGCTATGAACATTCATGTACATGTCTTTGTATGGATATGTGTTTTTATTTATCTTGAGTATTAGGCATGGAATTGCTAGATTATATGGGAACTATGGTTAACTTTTTAAGTCACTGCGATACTGTTTCCAGAGCACCTTCACCATTTTATGTTCCTGTCAGCAGTGTATAAGGGTTCTATTTTCTCTATATCCTTGTCAATACTTACTTTTATCCATCTTTTTTTCTCTTAGCCCATTGAATTGTCTTGGCCTTTTTGTCATAATTTAATTGACCATAAATGTAAGGGTTTATTGCTGGGCTCTTAATTAATTCTGTTCCATTAATCTATATTTCTGTCTTTACCCCAGTATCACACAGTCTTGATTGTTATAGTTTTATAGCAGGTTTTGAAATCAGAAGCATGAATCCTCTGTTCAAGATTGTTTTTGGATAGTCTGGAATCTCTGCATTTTCACAGAATTTTAGGATTAGCTTGTCGATTTCTGCAATTAAAAAAAAGACTGATGGAATTTTTATAGGGATTATGTTGAATCTGTAGATTAAGTTTGAGAGTATTGCTGTGGTAACAATATTAAGTCTTCCAATCAGTGTCCACAGAATACTTTTTCCCATCTTCACTTTCTTTCAACAATATGTAAAAATTTTCAGTGTTTTCAGTCTTATGTATTATTTTGTTTATTGAAGCACATACAATAAAATGAATAAATCTTAGTATACAGCTCTATGAATTTTGACATGTATATACACTCATGTAACCATCACCCAGATCAAGATATCAAACATCCTCACTAATTTTTCCCCCTTCACCTGTGTCACCCTCCCCCCTACTCCTTTCTCCTATGGTCACTACCAGTCTGTTTCTGTGTTTATGAATCTATTTGTTTTGTTTCTTAGATTTTACATATAAGTAAAATCATATGGTACTTTCTCTGGCTTATTTCACTTACTGTAATACTCTCTAGTCCTCCATGTTGTTGCAAATGGGCAAGATTTCATCATTTTTATGGCTGAGTAATATTGCATATATATATATATATTTACCATATCTTCTTTATCTGTTCTTCTGTTTGTAGACATTTAGGTTGCTTCCATATCTTGGCTATTGTAAATAATGCTGCAGTGAACATAGGAGTACATATATCTTTTCAATTTAGTATTTTCAGGGCTCTCACAGTGTGGTCTGGGCGTCCAGGGATCTTCCAAGTGGGCATTTGCTGGGGCCAATTTGGCAGGGCAGCTGGTGTTAGAGGGGTGCAATTTGCGGGTCTCCTGGGTGTGCAACAGGCTAGGGCCACACTTCTAGAGAGAAAAGGGATGAAGGGGCATTGTCTGGAGGGCTCCCTGGATGAATGCTTCCAGGGACACGATAATGGGGCAACTGGGGATGGAAAGGGCTTGGGTGGTGTGAATCATGGGGGCACCTTGCTAGTGCTTCCTTAGTGGGCTAGCTGGATCTCTGGTGGGCATGTTTGGGTGCAGACAGGGCCCAGGAGATCCTGATCTTGGTTAAGTCTGCAGCTGGTATGTACGCCCTGACCCTGCTCCCATGTACACTATGAATGTGTGGAGGGGAATGTAAACAATGGCACTCACCATGTTCCTATCAACACTACCAGTGTGCAAGGGGAACATAAACATTGGTGCCTACCAGCACCCCAAGTCCCAGGGAGTGTTCTAGTAGTTCCCCTGCCACGTGGTGGGTTCTTTCATTCTGAAAATTGATTTCCTGCATTAATGGCAGGGTTGCCCTTTAAACTGTAAATTGCAACATATTTTCTGTGCCCCATCAGAGGCAAATCTGTGCTCTGGCCCCTCATTGATAATCCTCACTACTTCAGGGCTGTGTTGGGAGTGGGGCTGCATCCCTTGATGTGTCTGCATCTCTCCTGCCATTATTTATGTGGTCTTTTTATCCCTTCTTGTTCAGAAGGTGTTCACTCAGACCTCAGTTCTTCCTCGGAAAGAATTTGTTCTGTGTGTAGCTGTAGATTTGGTGTGTAAGTGGGAGGAACTGGGCTCAGGCTATTTCCACGCTGCCATCTCAGACCTGCCCTCGTCAAGCCTTACCTTTCGTTGCTAAATTTTTTCCTAAATATTTCATTCTATTTGGTGCTATTGTAAATGGAATTATTTTCTTAATTTCATTATTTTGTTCTTTGCTGTATAAAACGACAATTGATTATTGGTTTTATATCCTCCTACCTTGCTAAATCTGTTTATTACCTTTTAATACATCTCTTCTACGTTTTGTTTTTTATTCTTTTTCTAGTTTCTTGAGTCTCTGCAAGTTAAGCCATGTAGATTTAGTTTTTTCTAATTCATTTTAAGGCTATACATTTTCTTCTAATTACTGTTTTGGCCGCAAACATCTTTAAGTATTGCAATTTGGGTTTGTTTTTTCTCATTAAGCATTGATTTTCTTCTTAATCCAGTGATATGTTACAACTTCCAAGTGTTTGTGGGGGGAGCTTATGTTTTTTTATGTTAATACTTAGTTTAATTGTATTGAGATTGGTATTCATGTCTTCTATGATTATTCTTTTGGAGTTTACTCGTATTTTCTAGTTTTGTAAGTTAAGCAGCAGAGTAGAAGTAATTGTGGCATAAAACCCCAAATAACACCGGTTGGATCTAGTGTGTCCTGTTTAGTTTTGGACATAGTAGATAGGATGCCTTCCATGCATGATAGGATTAAACCTTTCTCTGACTGCTTAGGTGTAGTGAGTTATGTGCTATTTTATCATATTCAGGAGTGTTTTTAAATGTCTTTGCAGCCACAAATAAGAAGAATAATTTACCCAAGGCAACTCGGTCCAGTATAGCAGGGAGTCTATCACTTCGAAGAGCAGTAGACTCTGGAGAAAATAGTCGTTCAAAGGGAGACTGTCAAACTCTGTCTGAAGGTAAATTTGGAGAGTTGAGAATGTAATGTCAGTGGAAAGATGTCTGTTTTTCTCAGTTGATCTTATGGCATAGCTTTAACCTTTAAGGCACCAACAGTGCTGTAACTTGATTTGAAAGTTCTTGATCTCAAACAGAACATACCCATTAGTAAGAAAATGCAGCCTTTAGACTGTATGTTCTGGAGACCTTAATTTTAAATACCTGGCATCAGAAAGACTAGGAGGTATTTTAGCGATTTAGTTTTTCTGCAGTTTAAAAATGTATATATAGTAAAGTCTTCTGCAGTGGAAAATAGAGAATAATTTACTTGTTCGCTTTCTTTCTGAATATCCCCTTGTCTGTAGGCTCCCCAGGAAGCTCTCAGTCAGGGAGCAGGCACAGTTCTTCCCGAGCCTTGACACATGACAGTATTGGTGATATGCTGCCAAAATCCGAAGACCAGCACTGTCAAGCTCTGGATTCAGATGCTGTCGTGGTTGCAGTTTTCAGTGGCTTACCTACTGCTGAGAAAAGGAGGAAAATGGTCACATTAGGGTAAACTAAGTTACTGTGTTTACATAATAGAATAATAACTAAAAGCTTTGTTTGGCACTTTAAATCTACATTATAATGACCAAAATAAATTTCTACTTTGTTAATTTCTTAGAAAGTTCATTTGTTGTATTAAAATGTCACTGTTGAAGTATCAGGGACCTTACTTTTTATCTTAATGGAAAGATACATTACTAGAAGTTCAATTTAAATATGTTAAAGCTCATTTTCCCTGAAGTTAGGATAATAATGGTGTGTGACCTTCAGTGAACTCTGCCTTGTTACTGTTTTTGTGCCTGTCAGCCTTTTTTTTCCATCTGACTCACACTTTTCAAATACATTTGTACTTCGCTATATTATGTCTCATAGGTCTTTTACACATATTGTATATGGAACAAAGCACCTCTAGCAATCTTATTTTAACACTGTTTTTCTGCTTTTATCTCACCTTTTCTCTCCTCTTATGAAAGTGCCTTGAAAAGTCATAGTGAGAATTTCCCAAAAGGATATATATGATAGTCAGTACCTTTTTATCTCTCTCCCAGGAAGAACTCAAATCCCAGCCATGTCAATTAAATTTCCATCCTTTCAAAAGATAGAGTGATTGTGGAATGTATTGGCTATGAATGTGCTGATGAGCCATTAATAACCATCTGCTAATCTATTTTATGGCTATTAAATACATTTCTAAATTTAAACAGTGGAATAGTTCTACCTTGGAGACTTAGAAAAGAACTTTGAATTAAGTTTAGAGAAAAATTAACATCCCTTAAGTTTACTTAATTTTATATAGTTTTAAGATCTGGATAATTGCTAAATCTAACAGCAGTTGGTGATTTAGTTTTCTATTTCTGCTCAAGTTCAGGCAATGGAAGGTATTATAATCATAGGAGATTGTCTTGTTCTCCGTGTTACTTAGCCTGGTTTTATACATGTCCTTTTCAAGTTGAAGCTGCATCTAGCTTTTATATTTTGTTATGGAGATATTTGCATCTGCCTTAAATCATAAAGATTAAATATATATGAAGATAGACTTTTTTCCTAGACTGTAAAATCCTTTATAATGTAGCCATGACTCTCATTTTAGAGTTAATTGTATCACCAGCCTGGCTCATGTGGTATTTTCCAGCTTGTTTTTTTTTTTTTTTCTTGCCTGATTTAAAGAGGTTTAAGCAAAAAATTTAAATACTAAGTGGTTCAAAATGGAAATTTAAAAAAAGAATATTAAGTAAAAATTCCTCTATCTTTGTCTCCCATCTACTTAGCTTTCCAACCACCTGCCCACACACATCCCTACTGTTCTTAATTTTTTATATATGCTGTTTTCTCACTTTTTATGCATATTTAAGCAACTGTGACTATATGTAGTTTTTTTTTAATACAAAAGGTGCACCTTGTTTTGTCATTCAACACATTTCAAAAGTCCATATTAGTGAGAACATATTATTTAGAACTTCTGTTTTTCTATATATTGGAATTTTCACTGAGATATCTATATATTCACATACAGTTATAAGAAATAATCAAGAGAAATCCTGTGTGCCTTATCCAGTTTCCCCTAAAGATAACATTTTGCAAAACTGTTACAATACACAACCAGGACACTGGCATTGATACAGTCTACTATTTTATTCCTTTTCATAGTGAGTCTTTCAGTAAATTTTTAAAAAATAAAACATGAAATTGAGTATTGTATACCATCGCCATATACTCAACTTAGTTTGATGCTCAGTTTTAGGACAAAAAGAAAATACAGATTATTATATCACTGACTAGTTATACAAAAATACCAGGTTTTTTTCTTCCTCTTTGAGGGCTAATGTTAAAGGAGGTCATCTGGAAGGAATGCAAATGACTGATTTGGGCAATAATTCTGAAACTGGGGAATTACAGCCTATATTACCTGAAGGAGCTTTAGCTGTCCCTGAGGAAGGTAAGTAATGATAAAGTCCTAATGAGGTGGGAGGTGGAAATTATGTTTGGATTTTTTTTTTTGGTGTTGGTGGTGGAAAGTACTTGGTTTAATAGAAAAGTTACTGAGACATTATCTATTATCTGACATGCTTGATCTGAACATAGCATTCATTGTGTCACTAGGACAGTAAGTACAGGAGAAGGCAAAATGGACAATCAAGTACATAAAAGGACATGTCTTATTATAAAGGTAGAATAATTTCTGCATGACACAAAAATCTGCAGATAAGTTAATCTCATTCAGTAAATGCATTAAATCACCTTCTTGCAGACAATGAATTTTTGGTAGATATGCAAAGATGAAATTAGATATGTTCACAGTCTTATGGGGAAGACATGCCCCTAAGCAACTAATTAGAATATTAAGTGTTAAGTACTTCGTTTTTTTAAAGCTGGTCTTGATTAATGTTTGTAACTTGGTTTGATCTTACAGAAGTATTCCAAACTTTAACCACTTAAAAAATCCTCTAGGGTAACCAATTTCATCTCTGTCAGTTCCCTCTGTTACATTTCCAGTGTTTTTCTGCATGTTCTTCCAGGCTTAGTTTTCTTTATCTAAAAGCATGAAAGATTCTCTGTAATTTTGAATAACAGAAAGCACTTGAAACAAGGCTATGTGTGTTGCCCTTGCTGTGTCCTTTATTATGTTAGCAAAAAAAAATGTCAACTTTATTAATGATATTTCATTATTGGATTATTTCTTTTCTTAGTGAAACTGCCACCTTCCACCTCTGCACTCATTTGAATTTCAATGATTGATGAATTGTAGTTCAAAGGATATATGCAGGTGCTGGCATCCACCTCTGGCTGCCCTGTGAAAAAGGATATGTGGGTGGTGAAATTCTCAGGTTTTTCAGTTAAAGAACACTTTGGTCTTCCCTCTCAGTTGGTGCTCCTGTGGTGGGCAGCATTATTTCAGTAGAAGAAATTAAATGGAAAGGATTTTTTAAATGGAGCATTGATTGTTGAAACAGAAGAAAGAAATATTTTGATGATCTTTATAGAAAGGATCTGTAGGGATTAGCTAGTTTTGATGTGTTTATATATACTGATTATGAATTACAGTGGCTTAAATTTTTATAGCATATGCTGGAATTACAGGCATCTTTCATAAATACAGCATTTATGAAATACCTCTAATTTGCCTGGCATTGCATTTGATGCTGGTGATAAAGTAATTCCTGAGCCTGCTGTTTATTTCAGAGTTTCTTTACCTTGGCATTATTGACATTTTGAGCTAGATGATTCTTTGTAGTGGGGGCTGCCCTGTACCTTGCAGGGTGGGTGTTCAGCAGCATTCTTTGCTTGAGCCACTAGGTACCAGTAGTACTCCCTCCGGGTTACAGTAACTAAAAATGTCTCCAGACATTGCCAAATGTTCCCTGGGAGGCAAATCATCCTCGTTTGAGAACTATTCACTGGTTGAGTTAAATGACTCCCCACCAGGGGTGAACACCCCTTCAGAATCACTTTCCAGAGTGGGTCGCAGTTACAAATGGGAGTAAGTTGTAGCTCCCAGGCATGCTGGATATATGTGGTGGTGGTGGGCGGGATCAAGGAGAATAATTGAAAACCACCAGTTAGGTGTCATACCAGTCAATGTCACTTTAGTATAGAGTGATGAGTGCTGAGATAGGGTGTATTGGGAACTCAAAGAACAGGCATGTAGTAGTAAAAATAGTACATACTGTTTACAAAGTCCTCAGCATGTATTAGAGACTGTTAAAGACTGTAGCAGTGTTACCTTGCATTTTCTAAAGACAGCCCTACATGATAGTTACTTTATTATCTTGATTTTACAAGTAAGTAGGCAGGCTGAGGTCCAGAGATAAAACTTATCTTACTCAAAGTCATGGCATTAGTAAATGGAAAGGATGGGATTTGAACTCAGAACCCATGCTCTTATCTGTCACCTCTCTACTAACCTAGTCTACCTTTGGAAAGGTCATTCTTAAGGGATGAGAAAAGGATAGCCAGGTGAAGACTGGTGAAAGATGTGGCCAGAGTGGAGGCAGAGGTCAGATCATGAAGGGTTATATTATATTCTCTGTCCTAGGTAGAATTTGGACTTTGTCCTTAAATGGGATCTAAGCAAGAAGGGAGATAATGAAGTCATTTTTTTTTACCTTTTTTTTTTATTAAGGTATCATCGATATACACTCTTATGAAGGCCTCACATGAAAAACACTGTGGCCACTACATTCACCCATACATACCATCAAGTCCCCCCTCCCCCCCACTCTACCGAAGTCACCATCCATCAGTGTAGCAAGATGCCACAAAGTCACCACCTGTCCACTCTGCGCCACACTGTCCTCCCCGTGACTCCACACAGACTATGTGCACCACTCATAATACCCCTCAATCCCCTTCGCCCTGCGCAGCCCCTCTGCTTTGGTAACTGCTAGTCCCTTCTTGGAGTCTGTGAGTCTGTTGCTGTTTTTGTTCCTTCAGTTTTGCTTCATTGTTATACTCCACAAATGAGGGAAATCATTTGGTACTTATCTTTCTCTGCCTGGCTTATTTCATTGAGCATAATATCCTCCAGCTCCATCCATGCTGTTGCAAATGGTAGGATTTGTTTCTTTCTTATGGCTGAATAGTATTCCATTTTGTATATGTACCACTTCTTTTTTATCCATTCATCTACTGATGGACACTTAGGTTGCTTCCATATCTTGGCTATTGTAAATAGTGCTGCAGTAAACATAAGGGTGCATCTGTCTTTTTTCACTGAGAAATTATATTCTTTGGGTAAATTCCTAGGAGTGGAATTCCTGGGTCAAATGGTATTTCTATTTTTAGGTTTTTGAGGAACTTCCATATTGCTTTCCACAATGGTTGAATTAATTTACATTCCCACCAACAGTGTAGGAGGGTTCCCCTTTCTCTACATCCTCCCCAGCATTTATTGTTCTTAGTCTTTTCGATGCTGACCACCCTAACTGGTGTGAGGTGATATCTCATTGAGGTTTTTATTTGTATTTCTCTGATAATTAGTGATGTGGAGCATCTTTTCATGTGCCTGTTGGCCATCTGAATTTCTTCCTTGGAGAATTGTCTATTCATCTCCTCAGCCCTTTTTTTAATTGGGTTATTTCCTTTTTTGTTGTTGAGGCATCTGAGTTCTTTACGCATTTTGGTTGTTAAACCCCTTGTTGGATATGTCGTATACAAATATGTTCTCCCATACTGTAGGATGCCTTTTTGTTCTCTTGATGGTGTCCTTTGCCATACAAAAGCTTTTTAATTTGATATAGTCCCATGTGTTCATTTTTGCTTTTGTTTCCCTTGTTCAAGGAGATGCATCTAGGAAAAAAGTTGCTCATGTTTATATTCAGGAGATTTTTGCCTATGTTGTCTTCTAAGAGTTTTATGGTTTCATGACTTACATTCAGGTCTTTTATCCATTTTGAGTTTACTTTTGTGTGTGGGGTTAAACATTAATCCAGTTTCTTTCTCTTGCATGTAGCTGTCCAGTTTTGCCAATGCCAGTTGTCATTTCCCCATTGTATGTCCATGGCTCCTTTGTTGTATATTAATTGACCATATATACTTGGGTTTATATCTGGGCTTTCTAGTCTGTTCCATTGGTCTATGTGTCTGTTCTTGTGCCAGTACCAAATGGTTTAGATGACTGTGGCTTTGTAGTAGAGCTTGAAGTCAGGGAGTGTAATCCCCCCAGTTTTATTTTTCCTTCTCAAGATTGCGTTGGCTATTTGGGGTCTTTTGTGGTTCCATATGAATTTTAGAACTATTTGCTATAGTTTGTTGAATAATGCTGTTGGTATTTTGATAGGAATTGCATTGAATCTTTAGATTGCTGTAGGCAGATTGGCCATTATGACATTATTAATTCTTCCTATCCATGAGCATGGAATGTGTTTCCATTTATTGGTATCTTCTTTAATTTCTCTCATGAGTGTCTTGTAGTTTTCAGAATATTGGTCTTTGACTTCCTTGGTTACGTTTATTCCTAGGTATTTTCTTCTTTTTGATGCAATTGTGAATGGAATTGTTTTCCTGATTACTCTTTCTGCTAGTTTATTATTAGTATATAGGAATGCAACAGATTTCTGTTTATTAATTTTGCATCCTGCAACTTAGCTGAATTCAGATATTAGATCTAGTAGTTTTGGAGGGGATTCTTCAGGGTTTTATGTACAATATCATGTCTTCTGCAAACAGTGACAGCTTAACTTCTTCTTTACTAATCTGGATGCCTTTTATTTCTTTGTGTTGTCTGTTTAGCATGGCGAGGACCTCCAGAACAATGTTGAATAAAAGTGGAGACAGTGGGCATCCTTGTCTTGTTACCCATCTTAAAGGAAAGGCTTTCAGCTTCTTGCTGTTCAGTATGATGTTGGCTGTGGGTTTGTCATATATGGTCTTTATTATGTTGAGGTTCTTGCCCTCTATACCCATTTTGTTGAGAGTTTTTATCATGAATGGATGTTGAATTTTGTTCAATGCTTTTTCGGTGTCTATGAAGGTTATCATGTGGTTTTTGTTCTGCTTTTTGTTGATGTGGTGGATGATATTGATGGATTTTCAAATATTGTACCATCCTTGCATCCCTGGGATGAATCCTACTTGATCATGATGGATGATCTTTTGTTTTTAATTCATTTTATTATCATTAATCTACAATTACATGAAGAATATTATGGTTACTAGACTCCCCCCTTCACCAAGTCCCTCCCCACAAACCCCATTACAGTCACTGTCCATCAGCTGGATGATCTTTTTGATGTATTTTTGAATTTGGTTTGCTGATATTTTGTTGAGTGTTTTTGCATCTATGTTCATCAGGGATATATTGGTTTGTAATTTTTGTTTTGTATGGTTTCTGCCTGGTTTTGGTATTAGCATGATGCCTCATAAAATGAGTTTGAAAGTATTCCCTCCTCTTCTACTTTTTGGAAAAGTTTAAGGAGGATGGGTATTAGGTCTTCACTA